CAATGAACATTTTTAGACTCCAACGCGGGTCGCGTCTGGGTACCGATGGGTCTGGGAACTTTCTTAACCTCCTCTTCAACTTTCCCGATCCTCCGTCTCTCAATCAGAGACCTGGTCGGAGGCCCATACAAAACTAAGTCTCGTCTTTCTACAATCTTTCCATTCTATTTCGTACATTTTCTATTCTTCTAGTTCGGTCTTACCCAATCCCTCTACCAAAATCTTCTTTACCGTCCTCGCCATCTCTCAAAATCTTATGAGCCTCGCGTTAGAATCTCAACTCGCCCACCGCGTTTAGGTCGCGGTCTGAGACATCCACCTTGAAGAATATTACAGTTACCTTTCATCATTCGTGATCAAAGGATATTCATCATGATGGACTCTTCACCAAGTAAGGCTAACGCTCAACCTGCCTTGCCAGCCCTGGCGGGTACAAAACGTCCAGCACCAACCTTACTTCCACCCTTTGAGCCACTTCCTTCTTCCTCTCCAAGTCTGCCAGGACGTAACACCAAGAGAATTCGTACATCACCATCTGCATTCGAATCAGCTTACACCAAGTATCCAACACCAATTCCTACTTCCACGACTGGCATTCTTTCATCCTCTCCTCCTCCAGGGGTACACGCTCGAGCCGGTCTCCATCGAAGTCGATCCTCTGTTGAGAGGGCTCCCCTTTCAGCTGTGCCAACAATCACTCTACCTGAAGATGGAGAGTCTCTTCTCATGGGTAGATCAAGCAATTCCTCCCACTATCAATTGTCCGCCAATCGTCTCATCTCTCGTGTCCATATCAAAGCTAGATATATTGCTGCTACGGTTCCTCTCGAGTCGAATAAGATTGAGATTATCTGTTGTGGATGGAATGGAGTAAAGTTACATTGTCAAGGTCGAACATGGGAGTTGGCAAAGGGAGATAGTTTCACCTCGGAAACGGAAAATGCTGAAATTATGTTGGATGTTCAGGATGCAAGGGTTCTGGTTGCTTGGCCACAAGGTGATAATCTTGACTCTGCTGCTCCAACAGAAGTTCCTTCGTGGAGTGAAGATAGTTCTCCTAGGGGTAAAGTTACTGCCGTTACTGCTCAGGGTGACATTATTCATTCAAGTCCAATTCGTCGTGTTGAAAGTCATTCGTCACCAGTATCACCAACACCTGCTCGCCAAACCCTTTCCTCTGCCAATTTGGCCAACCTCTTTGCTGATGATGCAGATAAGACCTTCATCCAAGTATATGAAGACAAATCAGAGCCAGCTCCAGCAATCGAGTCTAAAGATCCTGAGCCAGTATACTCACCAACAGTCGCTGCAGCATCATTCAGTGCATCATTCCCAGCTAGTCAAGAGAGTGAGTTGAGTGAGCCAGACGAAGACCCTGATGAAGAAAATGATCCCATTGTTCACTCCTTCGGTCCATTTGGCGCAAATTTATCCTCGAGAATGGCCAAATTCACAGCTGGACATACCCCAGAAGTTCGTGGTCGTGATGAGCACAAGTCTAAGACATCTACTGAGAAGCGATCGAGCTCTACATCCACTGACGAAGGTGCTATTACTCCTGTCATTAATCATGTAGCCAATCAACTTGCCTATTCTCGTCTTCAATCCATGCCATTGTCAACTATCCTCAGAAACCTTCCATCCAATCTCAGAGGTATTAGTCCTTCAAAGAAGGAGAACAAGGGCCTCACAAAGGATGATCTCCGAAAGATGCTGAACAGAACATCGTTCATCGGCGAAATCCATCGAGAGGGCAAGGACGCTGCGGGAAAGCCACTTGAGAGTGAATATTACTACATCCCAGACGAAGATACCGATCAGTCAAGAAAGGAGACAGTCCAAGAAGGATTAAGGAAACCTAGTCTGAGAAACTGCAGAAAGCAGCACAAGGTAATACTCACTCATGAATTGATCGATTTCTCTTATCTAACCTTTTCGCAGCAATATTATTGGAAGCGTCCAAGAACTCCATAGATGTGCGTAAGTACGACGGACGACTTGAGGTTTCGCTCAAGGAAAGAATCGAATTGTCATGAGATGTAAAGGCTTCATAACTTCAACATCGATTCGCAAACTGTAACATAAACGACATTCATGATGATCGTGTCCCGGTATGGTTGGATTGCATAATGAAAAAAAAAACTGTTTGTATACGATGATGGATGGATGATAGATATCAGGCGATGTTCCGGTCCCCATACCCTTTTATTTGCATAGCGAGGCGTCAGTTAATCATTTCGCGTTTGTATTCTGCTGGTTGCATATCTCTCGAGACGGTCTTGTACAGTCAGCGCATCGAGAGGTAAGAGTAACTTTGAAGAGTTTCAGACGAGGTTATCATGTATTAAAAACATCAAAAAAGCATTTATGAAATCCGTTCCGTTGTTGCAAGTGAATGGCGCAAGTAGATTGAGTACTAAAATGTTGGTATCTGATAAGACATAGAGAAGTATGAAGATATTGATGTAATGGTATGGTTTGCGACAATGAGTGAAAGGGAAAACAAACATAAATATTGAGGAAGTCGCAAGGTTGTTGTTGTTGTTGTTGGGTGCACTGGGCAGCGAGTGGTTTTAAAGTGGCGATAAGAAAATAAAAATGTTATCGATTAGATCCCCATAATTAAGGTTAAGCGACCCCGCATTGCGCTAGTACACGTGCCTCCAATTGAACCCGGACTTCGATTCAATCTCGAGACAATCCTGACGTGGATAGATGTGAAGCTTGTTTTCTGGAAACACATGTTTTGAGAAGGGAGATGTGTATGAGAGAAAACGTGTCATACCACTCTTGCGCCAATGTATGAGGGAAGCCCGTTTCCCCATCAGGTCAAAGGATTTCTTTATTGGTGAGTGAATGAATATTGATTGGATTTGAAGGATAGCTTGGGGAAGAGGGGTAAGATCATCAGTAGGAAGCTAATTTGGCTGTTGAGGACTGGAGATCGTCATTACTATTTATCATCGTTCTTGCTTTGTGAGGGTGTATTGATATTGACTGGCTTGTTGGCTCGCTGATTGGATGTCTATATGTGAATAGGAGACGGGTATGTTAACTGGTGGCATGCTAATTGGTGGGATGCTAATTCATGGTGTGATAAATGATGGTATGCTAGATGACGGTATGCTAATCTAATTGACCTCTCGTGATTTTAAAATCCTCGGTCGAATGATTTTTGGAGGGGTATTTATATTCGACTGAATAACTGATAATTGATGTCTATTTCTATTCACCATTCAACACCTTTACATTACAAGCACGAATAATCAAAAGTTCAAAAGCACAAAAGCTCATCGCAGCTTCCATATTTGGATAGTATATCTTCTACAACTACCGACGTCATTCGAAAAATCAAAACATCACGAACAAAGCTATCTTACCATTTGCTCAGGTTCAATCGATTTCTTGCAATCAATCAATCAATAGTAGACTGGGCGATTTCCTCGTTGGATAATCTACCCATTGATCAGTCTCTCAATTGAAAATTCCAAACAAATCTATACTCTGCTCAACTATTGACTCGTTCAATACCTTCAATACCTTCAACCTCAAAGCCAACCTCAAACAAAACGACATGACATCAATCGCATCTCAGCAATCCAAACCCACCTCCGACTCCACAGCCTCTCACCTCGCCGAGATCATCGAAGTCTCCATCCCTGATGGGCGTCGCAATTCTGGCGGGGAAACCCTGCCATCTTCAGTCGATACCTGGAAACCCAATCTTGATAGACGTCAAAGTTGGAATCATCAGGATCTTAAGAGATTACATGTGGAAGAGGGATTGAAGAAGGAGGATTGGGATAATGATGCTGGAGCAGAGGCCTCGGGATATAGTTACGAGGGAGGTGAGGAGGGGAAGAAGTGAGAGCATGGCTGGGGAGGGTGTACGGAATGGAGGATGATTGATGGGGATATGTCGAAGGAGCATTATTGGGAGCGATTGGGTTGAAAAAGCATGATATTTGGAGTTGAAGCGATGGATAGCAGTATGAAATGAGATGTGGGTTTTGCAGGCTCGAGCTAAATTGATATGAAGAATGAAGGAGAAAAGCACATCTTGGCATCGGCGATTGATTCTCAAGGAAAAAATTAACTGTGGTCTCGATCTATGGTTTTGGAGGAGATAATGCTTTAGTGTAGCATATAATAATGAATACTATTCATCTCTGTCTAACTCTCTACTGCCGTAATAATTCTCACGGTATGGGAAACAGGTGTCCACTTTGTCAATATCTGACCATAAACTTGATTTTCTGTTAATTCAAAAGCGGTGGGCGGCGGAATACCTCAATCCTGATCTCACGAAGAGGTTCTCCATTTAGTTTTACAGATGAAGGGATCTCTAATACATATGGTGCCTCAGCCCCTTGGTAATCCTTTCTTCAGACCTCCAAGATTGAAATCCATCTCACTCCTAATTGAAAGATCACAGAAGTCTGTGATTTATCGAGTATGTAATGCAGCAAATCTTTTAATCCTTACATTTAATTTCGAAGGCACATACAGATATATCAATCTCTTAGATCTAGAAATCCTTCGGGTAAATTGTTGTCTGAAGACTTGGAGCAGACGGTCACAACCAGCAAGTCATTTTAGATGATTGTGGTCAGAATGCACACAACTCCAGTACTGAGAAGACCAGGTTACCCCCATAATGTCTGCTCTTATGTGTATAAAAGCATCGAAAAAGAGACTCAAGGAAGGCGGAGCAAAGGCTTTCTTGTTACATACGTAGTATTAGTTGGAGATGGGGCTAGCTATACAAGAGCAATACTACTTGAAAGACAATAAAGTAATGAGTTACAAGGGGCTTTTAGTTTGATGCTTGTGTTTACACCGTCATGCAGTGCTTGGAACATTATACGTCATGTCACTCCATCTCCACGGAATGACAATTGAAACTCGTATAAAGTCATAAGAAGTAATAGCATATGTCATTGTATAATATATTCATCAGTCGCATCCTCCTATCTTGCAAACATTCTAATTAAATCAACCTACTTCGATAAAGGATATCCCGTGCCAACCAAAATAGCCGGCTCCTTAATATTGTGATGTGCATAACTCATAATACCAATCGCACCCGGCTCCATCATCATCTGGAATGGAAAGTCCATAGCATAGCGAAGCCATCTCTTCGTGAACGCGCGCAAGATGTGACCGTGAGCAACCTATCAAAATCATGATCAGCCATATCAAAACAAAAGTTCGACGAGACATCAAATCTTACTATCAAAACATCAGTAGGCTCGCCACTTTTGCCATCTACACGAGGACTCTGCAGCTCATAAATCTGGTCGATGAGTCTATCCAGACGCGCTTGTACTTCTTCTGCCGATCTGGATCAAGCACCAAATGTTAATCTCTATGCGAAAGCCAATCACCATACCAACATGCGCACGACATATTTTGCTCACTCTCCGCCCTCACAGCCTTGAGTCCAGATATCCCATTTTGGTAGGTCTCTCTTAGCTCTGCTTTCTTTAATCTCATCCGGTTTCAGGCCTTCATAATCTCCATAATTCCACTCTGCGATATCCTCTGTGGTGGCGATTTTGTTCTCCTGATCAAGTCGATCTTTATGTGCAGGCCCGAGCAACATCGATAACGTATCAACAGCCCGTTTGCGAGGTGAAGTAGAAACATGTGTTAGTTTGGAAGGGTCAATGAGTTTGCCAGCACCGACAAGGACTTCGCCCGTGCCTTGAACTTGAGCAATTCCGTTTGCGGTGAGAGGAATCTTAGCCTTGCTAGTGCAGCAGCCGTTGATGGTCCATTCTGTTTCACCTTGGATGTAATGGGAATATTAGAATTGGGCTATTCTATTTCCATTATAAAGTCTGAATGTCAACTTACCGTGTCGAGCGATGAAGACTCTTGGTGTAGTTGCGTTTGCGTCTAACATTGTTGTCGAATATCCAGGTAGATTGTTTGGGTAATTTGGTATGTATTGGATACAAATAAGAAGTCAAAATTCGTGGAGAAATGCGGGTTATTTAATGCATTCTGTAATTAAATGAAATTGATAGAATCAATCGTCGCTCTATTGTTTGCTGACACGGAACAATCCCAAAAGGTAGCCGTGAATCGCAAGTCCTTTTAGCATGGCTTGCTCCTCCCCTGTCTTTTAATGCACTATCACAATAATATTTCACCTGTTTAGGCGTTACAACCTCTGTTGGCTGCATGTATCTCTCAATTCCCCTCAGTACTTTAGCCACTGAGAGCTCGAAGGAATGAGCCAAGCCCTAGCCCTTGTGGTACTGCCAGAGCTTTTACTTCGAGAATCACAGTATGAGGCTACGATAAACTGATGTTACTTTTCACGTTCACATTTTGCTCGGTAAATTTGACGAAGAGCATGGTTCTTCATTTTAAAATTGATAGACACTTTTGACCTCTCAGTATGTCAGAACTTCGATCGAGAGGAAGCTGCAAATTTCAGAAGAGTCGATTATTCTTCTACGACATGCTCTCTCACAAGTTCAATCCTATCACCGTGGGGGCCATAGTTCTCTGCACAGGCTCCTCTCCCCTCTCTCTAACCCACTCCATCGTAACTCACGAGTCAATAATTTGCTTGGGATGGAGAAATTTGCGATGAATGTAAGAACAGAAACCCGGCTGCCAAATGTAAAGCTGTAAAAGTGCAATTTGAGAAAAAGGTTCACCCTACCTTCGTAGCCACCGGGGAACTTTTACGATCAAAGTTCTCATAGTTTCCTTCGCCCTGATTTGTGTTTTTAACAAATACTGAGCAATTGAGCAAGTAACGTCTAAACTCACATATTCCGGTACTTTAAGTTCTCAGAAAGCAAGGCTGAGCTTTTGAGATCCCATCGACTACTCCTTACAGATAGGAGAGCATATTGCGGTCGTCTTGATCTTCCTCTGGGCCAGATACTGGAAAATAATGGAAGTATGCCTTCATGTATTGCTTTCCAATTAAGTGTCGTATTGATCTCCAAGCTGCCATTTCCACTGAGTATAATTATTATTATTGGTTACAGAATTGTCTCTTGAATGAATAAACTATGAATAGAAGTAGGGAATATCTCATCTGCCTTACATTCGCCGTGGGCATACAGAGCAGCTGAATCGTAAATGATAGGCATGTTAGTATCAATATTCCAGGAAGTATTCCCAGTCCAGAGATCACCGTGAATAAGACAAGGCTGTATCTGGCGGTCTCCAGTCTCAAGTGGTCGCAACAAACGTGGAATGACTTTTTCGAGGATTCCTTGGCAAAGTTCTTGCCTTTCCTTATCGATTCCTTGAGACTTTTCCTCGGCATATTAATCAGCAGAAGAATTATATGTCTAGATCAGAGGCGTAAGTGTCACTTCCAATTGGCTCTGGCACAAATTTTGGCAGAACCTGATAAATAGCTATCATCGAGGCAAACTCGCCAAGAACCATGCCCTTTCCATTGTCACCTTGAGAAACCTAGCATGACATAAGTTTGGAGTTGAGATATTGTGTGAATGATGAGCCACCTTGAGAAAGTAAGATCTTGAAGTGCCATCTGGCATTACAGTCGCAAGTTCAGCGGTTCTGGTCCAATAGCTGGTGCCATGAGGATCGATGCTCTCAATCTCGGTGACCGGTGGAAATTTTGAGCTTGTCAAACGCTGCTGCTCATAAAACATGCTGACCCAGACTTACTCGCCTTGACATTTTCATCCACGAAACTGATCCATTTCTCGTCGACATCGATGGGCTTACCCCATTCTGCTGGGGTCATGACGTGTAAAACTTCCATAGGGGTCGCCACGTTTACGTAAGAGGGACTCCTAGGTGGGATTGTCAATAATGTATGATATGAATAGTTAAAACAGGATTTTAAGGGCCACAAACGGAAAGGACAACAAAATGCTTATTAACTTTGAGGCTCAAGATCCAAGTGTCTTCCTGGTCTTGTAATGAGTGGAGAAGAGGTGCAGAACAGTCAGAAAGTCTGATCTTCTTACATGGCAGTCAGTGGGTATGTGCTACCAACAAGAGTTCTGTAAAAACAAATCGTTTCGCACACCATTTCTTCTTCCCGGCCGATTGGCTAGATACAACAAAAGACTCTTCTTTAACTATGAAAGTAACCAAGAAAGGAGATGTCTTGTCAAAGAGGACGAGGTTGCAATTGTAAGGAGAGGGTTACTTACTTCTGAATTTATGCCAGGGGGTAGCAATCTTTTGGCACCAGCTGTGAATTGATACTATGGCTATTGAGATTTAACAATAGTAATTCAGATACATGATGACAACAATGGAGTGAACCCAACTTGGTTGATGACATCGAATTAAGATAAGCTGTCTCTTCAAAAGAAGAATGGAAATAATAACAGATATTGAGATGGAGGGTACGGTACTGAAAAGTAGGAAGTAATCACAGTTTACATATAAAATTAGATAGGGGAATAATTTAGGATACTATGCAAACCGGAGTTTGCAATTTGAGATTAGAGAACGATTGGGTTACAGGTGGGTGAAACTAATCAATCATGCCTGTATACACCCCGAGAAAGTAGTTCTCAAGTAAGGTGATACACTTCTCACGTCTGTTCAGAGAAGTAAAATAGCCACAATAGTATAGACAGGGTCTGTATCACCAGTTGCTCATAAATAATTAATTCTTTCCTTCCGGACATCTGGCAATGAACGATGTCAAAGCAGAGCCCAAACATGGTTCATATATGGATTGGAGAACTAAACAGCGTTTATAGAGCCCTTGATTGGGGACAAAATATGTGTTGTGACGCTGGCAAACTTCGAAGCACAAGTTTAAGTTACCTAGCAATTAGCATGGCATAAGACACTGTGAGATACTAAAATAAACCTGAAAATAATCGCAAATGCAGGAAAGTTTTCAGACGCGGAAGTCTCCTTTGAAACCCTTTAAAAATTAAGAATGCCAGTACACCCCATGTGCGCAAAGAGTTCACAAACTAAACAAAAACCAAGCAAAGAAACGATTATCTTGTATTAGTGATAATAGAAAATCATTGTTAAAACTAGCAATTCGCGCTGTTAAACACCACCATTTAGACCCAATGTCGTCCAGAGATCCCGAAAGTAAACTATTATATTCTAGAAGTCATCACTTCGTGGGGGGAATGGGATCTTTCTGACGATGCGGAGCAAGTTGACCCGTGAATTTACGACTCATTTTCTTTAACTCTTTACCGGTCTTGTTATCTTTAGCCACGAACGAGGTATCACTTCCCGATGACTCTGTATCCGAAGAAACATGAATTGCATGGGTGGAAGCTTTAGAGTCTGCCTTCTTACGTGTCATATCGACTAATAACACCGACCAGGTGAAAGTTTCGAGGAGATGTGGAATTCAGAATAGAGTAGTGCTGTGATCCTTGAGCTTGATTGAGATGAGTGTAGTCAACCAAGAACTTGTGCTACTCATGGCATGTACTTATACCAGAAAAGAAGGCTGTATTCAAAATTTCCTCGCAGATAAGGTCATGTATACGGCGGTTTGGGTTGCTCGAGAACTCTTCCGAGCAAGAATTTTCTCCAAAAATAAAACTAGACCGTTTGCTGGCACTTCTCCGTAGAACAGTATCCAGCGCCCCGGTACCAATCAATTGCAGACCAGCATAGCGATTCAACGTACATAAAAAGAAACATAAAATGGAGTCGTGTGTGATAAAAGGCGGCTGTAACCACTAAAGGCCGAATTTCAAGCCGGAAAGGCAATGTTCTTTTTGCAGGCCAATGTTGAGGTCTTGCAACAGAGACTTCGTCAAGCCAACAACTATAATTCCGAGGTTATGGGCCGAACAGACAATTCTAATAGTATGGTATACTGCATTGACAACTTGAAAACTACCGGACGTTGTGGATGCGGACGGAAATTCTCGAAGATCTTGACTGAAAAGAACAATGTTCGCGACATCATCTTGTGCAATTCTGTTTAAATTTGCCTTGCTCCCACTTCTCCCGGATTATTGCGAAAGCTGTCACCAGAAGAAAAACTTGCAACGTGTGAACGGAATCAATGCGTTGATTGAATGAGGTGTCAAAAATTATCTGATCGTTGAAATGTTATGTATTGAAGAGGCTGTTGCGATTTCGAACTTCGGCCAAGGGCTTTCCCATGTTTTAATGCAGCTATGTGACAAGTCAGGTGGAAGATATGTACGTTAAATTAATTTCTCTGAAGTCTCAATGATGTGAAAAAGCATATTGCATGGACGGGACAACGAACCAAGGGGTCTACCGAGGAAGCTCACTATGAAAATGCTCTTAGTTGTCCAAGCAATCTGATAAAAGTGTGGACTCAAACAAGCAGAATTAAGGTTAGTGATAGACAGTAGAAGAATAGGCAATTGGAGCGACAACTCGTTCGGTAACTTCCCCTGATTACGAAGGATGGAGCACTCCGCCAGCCTTTCATCATTGTGGATTTAAGGGGGGAAACATCGGACGGATTTTTTTTAGCTTGTCGATCTCGTTTGAGTGAATTGCCGCAATATATACATACCTACTCTTAAGAAGAACTAACGGTGAGAGCTGAGTTCAATTAAAGCTCCAGAAAATTCTCCGCTGTCAGATAGCCATGGTACAAATCATTATTGATGTCTCGAAGCCTTGGCATTTGAAATCCAATGATATCGAACAGCCACGATAGTAATATATGTTGTGTTCAACAATCAAATTGAAATGAGAATTTCGGCAACAAAATGTGGTTCTATTCAACTTCTCGTATTGTAAGTTTGAATAATCAAAGATTTTTCTCAGTGATGATCTTGTATCAAAGAGACAACTTGACACAACCTTGCTTACTTGGCTGAAGTTTCTGGTTCGAGATTTTTACCAAGTCAGGGATATTTATATTGATGTGATAAGGTCTATCACTGTAAGAATCCTTGCTACTGTAATGGTAGGGGGTCAACAAGGTTGTTCTTCCCCAGTCCGTGGAAACATTTGATGGAATGATTGGACTGATAAGAACCGGACATCCGAAGCAACCGCTTGTTCTTTGCATATCACAATCACAGAATGAAGATCCGATCTGAGGAAACTTTTCGATGGTGGTTATGATTGTGATAGTGATGGTGTTGTTGACTCGGTGGCCATGGAAGCCGTGAGCCTGCACACGATCTTTTGGCTTCGAAGGCGGCTCGACTGCCTAGATTGAGATGCGGTATCACAGATTCGATATTGTTGAATGCAAGTAAGCGCGCCTCTGAAGCTTTATCAAGTGAGATTCTAAAGAAAGAGTATTGATGGCGTATCCTGAGTATCTTGTCGTCATAATCTTGACATTTGGTTGGAACATTTCGAATGAAATATCTCGGCCTACTTTATAAATCGTCAATTCGAAACGTCGTTAATCAAATCCACTATATTAAACGATGACGTTTAACCTATTTGGGACTAGTTTGATGCATGTATCCTTGAATGTCATTAAGAAATCTAGAACGAAAGTTTTCCCAACCTGTGCCAACCCACCATAATCCAACATGAGATGATTTTCATATATTTCTACCAGTAAACTCCCTGGTTTTTCCCCTGAGGGATTGATAACACATGTCTTGCGGTTTTTTCAAAGAGATTGGTAACATTATAGTACAAATGAAGTCAATCTTATACGATTAATTATCAATGAAACAATTCAGCGGCGGTGAGATTGGTAAACGCGGCTGGCTACAGCTACAATCTTGCCAGGGGAAAAGAAAGAAAACAGCCAGCCTGTTTTCTGTTTTACATGTACCTCCAGTTCATTGCGATTAGTTGATAGCAAGTGCTGAAATATGTCCCGAGCTTTCAGTCAAGCTTCCTGATCCACCAGATCAATATACCTTAAATTATGGAGGGGCGGCTGTTGAATCGACCCACACATTTCAAATGATCTGGAATCATCCACTGTCATTTTATTGCTGTTCAAATACTTATTTGTCTCTGTTGTTTTCACTTGATTTTTTTCTCTCTTTACCAGCTTTCGAAGTATCTCACCTTCAGTCTCTCTTTCTTCAAAGATCTGCTCTTAACACAATCCCTTGGCTGTGCCATCTCTTACGTTCTTCTCATACATCAAGAATACATTAGTAGGCCAGATCCTCTGTACCAAACAAAAAATAAAGATTTCGACAATCATACCTCAACCAAAATGAAGTGCAACGCCGTCATCCTCGCCAGCTTCGCGCTCGGCCAATCTGTTATGGCAACAAACATCTATCGTCCTGGTGGCCAGTAAGTACAACATGCTTTTCATATCCAATCCCTACAATTTGCTAAGTACCGCGATAGTTACCAAGTCCGAGCCTTCAATGAATCGGAGCCAATCTTCCCATCTGGATCTGGAGCTTCATCTGGTTTCGCTCGCCCAACCGGAAAGCCATCCCACCACACCTCATCCAAGAAGCCCTGCAAAACCAAGTCATCTTCTACAGTAGCATCTTCAGTCGCAGCATCATCTGTGGCAGCAACTTCCGCCGCAGCAACAAGCTCCGAAGCTTCTGTCGTGACCTCCGCACCAGCAGTCAGCTCCGACCTTGCCACACCAAGCACTGTCTTGTACACAACTACCATTACAAACCACCTCTCTGAGACTGTCGTTGTCACTGTGACTCCACAACCCGCAACATCTATTCCAGAAGCCTCCGCCTCCGCCTCTACCACTGCCGCTGTTGTACCAACAACCTTGAAGAGTGCCGATGTGGATACATCTTCAACATTCGTTGCTCCATCCTCTTCCAAGACCTCAGTCAACTCCCTTCCACCATACCCAACAACTTTGTCAACTGGCACTTCTTCAACTATTGCTTCCACTGGCTTTGCTTCAGGAACTGGTGGTGTTGCCTACCCAACCGGCAGCACTATCGCTGCTTACTACCAGTGTGGAGGAATTGGTTATACCGGATCCACCACCTGTGTTGAGGGTACCCACTGCCAGGTCCAGAACCCATACTACTCTCAATGTATCTACCAGTCTTAAGTATGCGGATTAGAAAGGAGATTTCGTGGGTTCGATAATTGGATGCGATAGAGTTTGTTTCACCTTGATGGATGACAGTGTAGAGGTTCACTTCTTGTTCTATCTTACGATAGCCGTTTTTACAAATATAAATGACTTTTTACCATGATCATGAATTACTGCCTCATCTCTCCTTTGGTCCTGATTGAAATTAATTTGTAATGTGAAAATATAATATTCTAGAATTCTTTTGTTTCCTATACGGAGTATGTCATCATGAAACCACCCCCTAGATGATCTTATCAAGGTTCTCTAGTGCGTTCCCAATCATGAATGTTAACTCTGAAATGTGACACCTGATGATCATGATCATGTTTGTAGAACACATAGTAGAAACACACTATCTGGAGTAATCCCCAGTAAAACTTTAGAGAAAAGACTGAGTTGTCCAGTTCGTTACCAACTTGTTGAATTTTTCCCAATACAATCAAGCCATTTCAAAATATCACCAGTTACAAGACCTCCTCAATACTTAATCCCCAATCCTCAACGTCTTTTTTCTGCAAAAAAAGAAAGATCGTATAAATCGGTTATCCTACTTTCAGACCACCAAGGTTTTGGACCACCCTTTCACACCAAAAATCACTTTTTAGGCCTATTAATATCTCTATCAATATATAATATAATTTGATAAAAATTTATAAACATATAATTTAGATTGATTTAAGCTTCTTCTGAAAATTTTAGATTTTTAGGATTTTTCTGTATTAAAATCTAGAACTTCAAAATATCGATTTTTTAATTTGTATGAGAATCACATACAAATTTAGAAATTTTATAAAATCTTTAATAACTTTTTAACAAGAACTATTAAAAGAAATGTGTGAACAAGGGTATTCACTTCAAAGGAATGACTTCAATACAATGACTACTGTATCAAAGGGATTTAGGCGAATGCGAAAGAGACTAGCTCTTTCAGTAGTGCCTATATAAGGCCTACTATTTTCCCACTTAGCTAGCTCTTTAGATAGAATACAATTAGACCTTTAGGGCCTACGAATACGTGGGTGCTACGTCTTCCGTATCCTTCTCGAACCAACAAGAAAACTGTATATCTTTTTGAAAGTTTTAAATTCAAATCTATATAAAAATTCAAAAAAAAATTCAAAAAAATTAACAGATATAAACATATAGTATACGGTGAGTTTAGAATAGTATAAATAATCCCTGTCATTTTGAAGGTATCTCTTTAAATATTTATTTATAAGAAGTTTTCTATTTTTTCTGAATCTTTGAGATAAATTATACTATAAATTTATAATAAAATTTTGTAGTTTATTTTTAGCAATTTTTATTAGAAAGTTATTAAAGATTTTATAAAATTTTCAAATTTGTATATAATTCCCATACAAATTAAAAAATCGATATTTTGAAGTTCTAGATTTTAATACAGAAAAATCCTAAAAATCTAAAATTTTCAGAAGAAGCTTAAATCAATCTAAATTATATGTTTATAAATTTTTATCAAATTATATTATATATTGTCACGGAATTCACCGTATAGTGTAACCCTACGGTGTTAATCCTAGTACTCCTCCGGAGTACTCATTCCCATGATTACTAAAACTATTTCACTCAGTTCATTTGTGTACCCTATATACCTAATTAGGCGACTCCATCGCCTGATCAGGGTATATAAAGCAGGTATGATCCTTATGATCACACCTCAAGTCAATCTAGTTTATTATCACTCTATATACCTATCTCCTGATCAAAGTGACCATTAGACATAGCTATTACCTCCGTGATATATATTGATAGAGATATTAATAGGCCTAAAAAGTGATTTTTGGTGTGAAAGGGTAGCCCAAACCCTAGTGGCCCGAAAATAGGATAACCGACTTACGTACCTGCATATGCAATCAATACCAAGCAAAAAGCAAAAAGCGAAACGGAATCCAGATTATCACATCATCTTGCGCGTGCAAATTTCGGGAAAGAATATCCCAGCAATCTAGAAATTATTCCGAATTCCGAGCCGTCCTGTCATTTCCCGTAGCCCTACCGACCCCCACAATACTTCGCTTAATCATGACATTTTGGATTTACCTCTCCACTTCTTGACACAACCATTCTTTCAACAATAATATATATTCACACAACGCCGCCCAATCATAACGAGTTCCTTCTAACTCTCACATCATCACTCAGTCGATCTTGTTTCATCAAGTCGGTTGGTGACGAGTGGGTGTACATAAAATGGTGGTGTGGTGTAATGGTAGCACGTGGTGTTGTGGTTTCTCCTCAATAGGGCCTTCACGAAGATGAGCTGTTACAAGCTTTCCAAATCCCGCTTCAATCTGGGTTCGATTCCCAGCACCGCCAATGGTATTCATTTTGCTCTTTTCCTCAAGTTTTGAAGCCGTTGTGATGCTTTTTGGTGGCTGTGGTGAAGATTTCGTGGAGGATGTCATGGTCACGTGATCTCGCTTGGGGCTTGCTTGTACTTTTGCTCTTCATCTCTGTCTCTATTTTGCTGTAATTTGGGATGGTATAAGGAGGTTATTTTATTGCCCTGGAAATACAAGAGGAGAATCAAATGATGGAAGTGGAAAGCAAGCTGAACCATCATTTCTTAATCTAACATTATCACTTCCTTTCCTCTCCTTCGTTCCCACGCACCATACGGAAAAGCAAAAATTGTAGTTGGTCAATTCATCATATTTAACAAGTGTTGATTTTGAGAGCCTGAAGCGGCTTTGATTCAATATTACAACTTTCTCTCGGGCAGCTTGAAATCACCCTTTGAAGGCTTAGCCAGGGTATCCAATAGTCCGGATTGCAGTCCAACAATGAAGATTATCAAATCCCTAAACCAATTGGAACATTCAAATAATTTAACATATTAAATTTGATTAGAATATCAAACTGTTTTCAAATTTTCAACTACTTTTAGATATTCAAAATCTTTTATCATTGGATTGTAGTTTGAACTATTGGATACTCTATTCGAAGCTGTGTACATTCTAACTATGTCATCTTTATATGTAGATTGAATTTTTGTAAATCTAGTAAGTATTCTGTCGATCTTCAGTATATCAATGTGGTGCTTGAAAAGATTTCATTCTTTGATCCAGGTTTCCCGGAGCGATTGCATTTCCAAGGGCAAGAACCATCTTTTCAAGGACTCTGTTTCAAACGTTTAATAGCAATCTGCTTAGAGATTATCCACATATTGCGAGGATAGTGAAGTAATTTCAAATCGCATCGAACTTCTCTTCTAGCATAAAAATTTGATGTACTCAGTGATCACGATAAGAAACAGATCCAGAGTCCTCGCATCACTTCCAAGACGGGCACACACAGTGAAAGGCAGGAGAGGGGGAGGTGGAGTGAACGGATTGAGAAACATGTAGCCACTGCTCACTCAGGAGTTACTGTTCAAAGCCGGTTATCACATGAAGAAGAAATCTGAAATCCAAACCCCAACTGCTCCATGCAGTATACTTTCAACAATTGGAATCTGCTCTCACTCCCATACGTTTAGTCTTCTATATATCTAATATTCACTACCCCTCCTCGACTATCTCTATCTATCAAGTGCCTCAGAATACATACACGTGTATAATTCTCTCAGAAAAAAAAGTAAAACAAAAAAACGAACAAGCTCATTGAGTCAAACTCACCATGGCCCACTCTCCCATATTCAATGTCTGATGTCCATCACAACCCAAACATTCCTCTCTCCCAAAAATAAAGTCAGCCAACCATACAACCAACCATACAAACAAGCACACTGTGAGGATTCATAATAAGTCCGCTAAATCACTCATTAATATCTTACTAATTAAGAGATATGTTAAAAGGAATAGAAGTTACCGGTGCTAAGCACGTGTAGTGATTAGTAATACGGCTACCTAAACGGGCTAGATTAGACGAACCATAGACAGGCATATTGATCCCCTCATATAATACTACGGGGAGATCAATATGCTTACACGCATAACAATATAGTCAATATAGAGGCCTCTTCCACCCAATCTTCTAATAGGTTATGAGACCCGGTTAGTATGGCCTCTGGATAGAATTGATGTGATCAATATTACATCCAGCTCGCGAAACTGAAGAGTACGCGATACTACCTTATATCCAGTTCGCAAAATTGAAAAGTACACAGCACTATCTTATAATCAATATGTGGTACTACAATCAATCACTACTATTAACTCATGGAATTAAAGAGCACACAATGCTATCTATACTTATATATTTATAATCACAAATCTGTATAGCATTATTTATACAAAAAAAGAAAAGGAAAAGGAAAAACTCTACAAATTCTTTATATAAACACCAAAATAAATAATATCAAAAAGCAAGCTAAACGTATTCCAACTCTCATCCAAAAGATTTACAAAAAATGATTCCAGCAAATAAAAATATAATTAAGAGGAAAGGATTGGTTTTGTCACGGATCGCACTCAATCGCAGCTGCGATCGCTCACGTGCGTGCTTGCGCATGTACACAATCACATATATATAGTTAGTATATAGAAGCATTCTACAAGCACTTTACTCTCGATTCTGTAATTGTAGATTCTAAGGATAAATTGTATCCTGCTTTTATAATTCTTCTAAGGCAAAGTGTTACATTATCTATAACTCATTATACAATCACACGGCCATCTAGTAGCCAATCAAATAATACCTTATAATCATAATACCTTCTTGGGTATATCGAGAACATTCGATATTACTTATAAAAAAAGGGCTGATTTTGAGTAAATCTATTTGATGGAAAATAACAAACCCCTAATATACAGAATTACAAGTACCGCTATTATATCCAATCTATTTACTTTAAAAAAACTCCATCACTCTCCCCCTCTCGCTAGCCGAGTGCTTCCAGTTGACGATAGTTAATTTTAATGGAGTGATGGTTATAGTCCTTATAATTCTAATATAAATACTAATAGATATAGAAAGGGTAAACAGTCTAAAAACAACTTCTCGATTAAGGT